TCAAATTTGTTTTTGCCTGGGATCCCTAAAATATGGCTTGCTTTTGGCCATTGGCAGCCTGCTATTTCGAGCCCTGTACCACACTGATCTGGAATTTAATAGTTGGATTGGGTATAATATGTGCCTTGCTGTGCTTTCAGGCGACTGATGTGTATTCAAAGAACAGCGTCGGTCCATGGTCACGAGAAGGTTAAAACCCTGGCAGTTTTTCTTCAATGTAATCCTGAAACAGAGTCATTGTAAGTCTTAACTACTATACAGTACATCCTAAAACTAACCAGGTTCAACCTGGGTTAATGTTAACCCTGTTAGTTTTGAATGTAAACGTGCAATCCTAATCCAGGTAATCCAGGTTAGTTAGAACTGTCAGGGACTTCCAGAGGATTCCACTAGGGGATTCCAGGAGCATGTTGCCCCGGACATTTGTGAAATTTAGAAAAACGGAGCACTTGGCCATTACCTGCCGATTTCACGGTGAAATTCATGCAAAGAAAACAACAACAAAAAATCTATCTGGGTAAAATATTTGTGTGAGCCTGTTTGTGACGTCACATATATATACACAATAATCCAAGATGGCGGACACCTCACTGATTTATGATGATTTTGGTGAAAGTATTTCGAGAACTAAGCAACATTTGAAGACGATGTACAAAAGTTTTCTATATAATTTTAAAAGTTCTTTCAAATGAGACAAACGTTTTATTGCCATATTGCTTTAAGTAAGGCAAGTTTCATCAAACTCCTGTATTGTGAACTTTGCTGAGAATTTTTCAGGGGTGGAGACTGATGGGGTTGCCCTCCTTGTTTTTCACACTGCCTATACTCCACAGCCAGGAAAACAAGTGACAAAGACAGAAATTTTGCATTTTTTTATTTACTTCACTGCAAATATCTAAAATACAGTGTATACATATTTTTAAAATTATTTATTATATTCTAAGCGTTTTTACTTCAAATTAATCGGTGTTCATTGACTATCAGTTTAATTACGGTACTTACTTTATATACACACATGTTTTCTTTATATATTACTACATGCTTGCTTGCTTAACTTGCTTGCTTGTTTAATTACTTATTTACACTTATACAGCCGACTTACTTACACTATAGTCTATTCAGCGGAAGTTTGTTAACTGGCGGCCTATTGTTTGCTGGGAAATATTTTTTCTTGAGCAACTGATAATTTCTTCGTGTAAAGACAAACGCAATACCAATGTAGGCACCAGTAAGCAACGTTACAGTATACAACGCTATCTTTATGTCGAAATCAAAATCCACGATTCTAGATATGAAGAGAGGAAACCAATAACTTAAGGCTGTAGTGGTTGACAGCTTGAGCAATATGACAAATTTACGACGCTTAACAATATTCGATTTCTGTGCAATGTTCCTGCTTGCCTTGAGTTTTTGGCGAATTCGATAAGCAGTGAAGATGAACATTCCAATAATGTACAACAAAAGACAACCTTGAAGGCCATATACATCAACAGCAGCTGACCAATCGGGAGTAATTCGACCATTGATACAATCTCCAGAGATCTGTTGATAAATCCTTGCATCATTTTCCTTCCCATCTCCACTCGCGAATACAATGCGTTCATAAAACTTTAAGCTTGACTGAACATCTTTCTTCAAAGATACAATAGGTTGATAAATTCTTAGATCATCTTCCGTCGCATCTTCCTTCCCAAGTACAGTGCTTTGATTAAACTTTGACTGGGCATCTTCAAGTACATTGTCAGTGCTTTGATTTAACCTTGACTTTGACTGCAGGACATTATCCTTCAAGGATGCAACACGGTGATAAATCCCTATATTATTTGCCGTCGCATTTCCATTCGCAATGCGTCGATAAAATCTTAAGCTCGATTGAACGTCGTTCTTCACAGACGCAATAGGTTGATCAAATCTTAGAACATCTTCCTTTACTAGTACAATGTGAACAATCGTTATAATGATGGGAACTCCCCAGCTAAAGAAACTATATTTCAAAAATATGTTCCACTTCTTCAGTTCATCAGATTTCACTAGAGTATTCCCACAAAATGTGTTTCTTAAGTGATAGATATTAACCACAGCATTCATAATTATGCTATACGTCATAAACTTATTTGCTACAAACAGCCTAGTACACGGTATCTCAAACAGTTTACCTACATGAGAATACAGTGACAGAAATACTACAAGGTAAGTCTGCCACAACAGCAAGGCGAAGCTAAAACTCATTAAATTCAAACCAGGAAGTGTGCGCAGTTCTGGAAGCATGCAGTAAACTATCAACAACAACAGTAAAGAAATAATAGAAAGCGCTAAAGCACATAATGGTGCTATAATAATCTTAAAGTTTGTAATTACGTATGCTGGTCTTAAGTTTTCTTTGCCGCATACATAAGGTTTACCGTCTATCACCGCATAGTCATTTCTTTTGAAATATTGACCGTTATCTGCCGAATACACAGCAAACTGATTAGTCACAGCGTAGTATCTTGCATTTAATTTATAAGAACCGTAACAGGATGCGGGTAATG